CTCCTTTTCTTCTCCCCTCCCATCTCTCCCCTCAACCCCTCAATCCGTAGCTTTTCTTGAGTCCAGGAGGTCTAGTAGCCCAGGCAGGTCTCAAACGCTCCGAGGTAGAGAATGACCTTGAACTCGAGATCCTTCCTTGTGCTCTACCACGCTCGGTTATTTTAACCTTTGCTTTCAGCAGGCAAACCGAGTCAGACCCTGAACTCCGAGGTCGGGCCAAGAGCGCTCTCAAACCCTAGTCTTCCGAGACCCGGGAGCTTGCTTTGCGGGACCTTGCGCGCCCCAAGCTTCCTGTTGTGGGAAGCCTGAGCAGTTGCCGTGGAGACCAGCTCCGGGCCAGGAGGTCGTGCTGCAGAGGCGGAAGGGAGAGGGCTTCGACGCGCGCTCTTCCTCCCCACGCGGCTCCTCTCACCCGCCCCCGAAGCCTGGGTATTCCTAAGGAATTTCCACGGGGATCTTTTGTTCTTGGGGGACCCCGGGACCACTGTGCTGGAGTTTCAGGGTGACCCCAGGGAAGTCTGCGGAAACCCTCCGAGAGGATCTTTCTCGAGGTCCCTACCTGATGTGTGTGAGCCCTCAGCGTCCCAAGTTCCCTTTGCAGCCCCGAGGGCGTGATAGTTTAAGCAGCGCCTCCGGTGTTCAGGAAGCCGTCGAGCACAGCCGAATAGTGGAAAATCCTGCCGGGATCCCCAGAGGAGCGGAGATGGGCAGGACTCAACTCTACTTCAACCGAAAAACTCAGCAGCACACAGCAGCCTGAAAGAGACTCAGGAGACCGGATGACCGAAGTCAGCGTCCGCTACACAGTGAGATTAAGGCCGCCCCCACCCCACCCCCCGCGAGAGTTTGGTTTCCAGAACCGTCAACTAGGGACTGGATGGGTCGCTCAGCTGGCCTGAAACAGAGAACCTCCTGCTTCTGCCTTCCCAGGGCTTTTTTATATGCATATATATGGTTAGAGTAATGGCTCAGTAGTTAAGAGAACTTACTGCTCTTCCAGAGGACCCAGGGTTCAATCCCCACCACTCAAAGGGTGGGTCACAACCATCTGTAACTCTGATTCCAGCGGACCTGATGCCCTCTTCTGGCCTCCGTGGGCACTGCACACAGATATTACATAGATACATGCAAGCAAAACATTCATAAGCATAAACTATAAAATTAGATTCTATGTGTGTGAGTATTTTGCCTTTATGTGTGTACAGACCCTGAGTGTGTGCTGGTGCCCATGAAGGCTAGAGAGGGCACCAGATTCCCAATTGTGGACAGTTGGGAGCCACCATGTGGGTGCTAGGAACTGAACAAAAGTCCTCTGCAACAGCAGCAACTGTTCTTTTTTGTTTGTTTCTCCAGACAGGGTTTCTCTGTGTAGCCTTGACTGACCTCAAACTCAGAGATCCACCTGCCTCAGCCTCCCAAGTACTGGGATTAAAGGTGTGTGTTTGTGACGTGTGTCTGCTGGGGAGATACATGCCAGGGGGGCCAGTAGAGAACATCAAATGTCAAGTCAGGCGCAGTGCAAGCCTGTAATCCCAGCAGACAGTTCCAAGACAGCTAGGGCTACACAGAGAAACTCATCTCCAGGAAAGAAAAGGGGGTGGCGGTTTTGGAGAGAGAGAGAGTGCAGCAGTTAAGAGCACTGGGTTGTTCTTCCCATTGAACCCAGAGGTCCTGAGTTCAATTCCCAGCAACCACATAGTAGTTCACAACCATCAGTGGTTCTTCCAGCATGCAGGTGTACATGCAGACAGAATACCCACGTATATATATAAACGGCTAAACTGGTACACGGTGAAACCCTGCCTCCCAGGCTAGACCCATTCGACTTGTTGCAGTTTGGGGCCAGGGTCAACAGCGATCCCTTGGTGCAGCCCTGAGATCCTGGAGGGTCATTGGCTAGGGTGGGGTAGGAAGGAAAGAGGCAACAGAATTCGGAGCATCGTATTCTAGAATTGCATTCCTTTGCCGTTTCCTCCCCTGCCCTGTGCCTCAGTCTGCAGGAAGGAAGGGCATGACTTCCTCCTTGGTGCCAATTGGTCTCACACAGACTAAGGGATATTCTGCAGATCAGAACCTTCCCAGACTTAGTCCATGAATGACGTTACCCTCTGAGTTCTTGTGGGAATACCTTGTAGTTCCCTCAATCTGCCCTGCTTTCCCACTCATGCCAACATGCCTTGTCCTCCTTTCTGGAGCCCGAGCCAGCTCGGTTTTTATTTATTTACTTTGAGATAGTCTTTTGGTCTGTAGCCCAGGATGACCCGGAACTCCTCGGCTTCTGCTTCCGACACTCACGATCTGGGATTACAGACATGCACTGACACACCCTGCTTGTATTTCCCTTAGCTTAATGAGTGAACGTATTTTGTTGCTGTTGTTTTTGAGGCAAGTTTCTCTGTGTAGCCTTGGCTGTCCTGGACCTATCTGTGGTATAAGTGAGCATTCTAGGATGCCCAGCTCTGCTTTTTTTTTTTTTTTTTTTTTTTTTTCAGAGAAAGTTTCATGTAGCTCAGGCTTTTAAACTCAGACTTAATATGTAGCCCAGGCTGACTTTAAACTCCCAACCCTCCTGCCTCGACTTCTCTGGCTTATTTACTATCTTGTCTGGCTACATCCCAATAATTTGAAACTACATTCGAAGCTGGGTGTGGTGGTACACACCTGTAATCTCAGCACTCAGGGAGGCAGAGGCAGTCAGATCTCGGTGAGTTCAAGGCAAGCCTGGTCTACAGAGGGATTCCAGGACAGGCAGGACTACACAGAGAAACCCTTTCTTGAAAAACCAAAACAGAAGAAAGTACATTAAGACCTAGTATCACTTTCTTAGGATGCCTTTTCCCTCCTGGCATTGGCAGAAGGTCTCTGTGTGGAGGGACAAGTTCTGACTTCTTTTTTTTTTTCAGTGTGGGTGTTGATGGATCTTACTGTTTCCTTCAAGTTCTAGTGTGGGTGTAACTAGCTGTGTGTCTATACAGCTCTCCACTTAGGCTGCCCAAGACACCACAGAGACTGGGCTCGTGTCAGCACACCTGTGACTTATTCCAGTGGCTTGTTTGGTGGGTTTTGTTTTCTGTAGCAAGGTTGTCCTGAACACACTTGTAGACCAGGTTAGCCTTGAACTCAGAGATGTGCCTACCTCCAGAGTGTTGGGATTAAAGATGTTCACTTGGCTTGTTTATTTCTGAGCAGAGGAAACTTAAGTTTATTAAGAAATAAGAACTGCCAAGGGTGAGGAGTCCAGGACAGGAACACTCTTTAGTTTTTGAAAGAGTCTGTGGTAGCTCAGACTGGCTTCAAGCTGTGCAGCCAAGGGTGACTTTTTCAACCTTCCCTCCTGCTTCTGCCTCAATGTTGGAATGACAGGAGAGAGCCACGCCTGCATGGCCTTACTTTGTAGCTCAGGCTATCCTTAAAATGACAGTTTTCCAGCCTGTTTCCAAAGCGTTGCCATAGAGCATGTGCCACACCCGGCTTTTGTGGCTTTTGTTTTTCTAGTTGCAGTGTGGATATGTTGAGCCAGAAGAGGGCTGGCAGACGCAGGGTGTGACTGAGGCTGCCTAGCTGTACACACAGTAACAGAAAGCAGTCCCAGTCAGCTTCGGTCCTTGTTCGGCCAGACAGCGCTGGATGTTTTCTTTGTGAAACATGTCCATTCTCTGGGGGCCTCCACCTCACATCTTCCTCATTTTAAAAAAATATTTCCTTAGCTTTCGAGACAGGGTTTCTCTGTGTAGCCCTGTCTGTCCTGAAACTTGCTCTATAGACCAGGCTGCCCTCAAACTTGGGAGATCTACCTGCCTCTGCCTCCTGAGTGCTGGAATTAAAGGTATGTTTCACCACTGTCCAGCTTAAATTATTCTTTTGTGTGCGTGTGTGTGCATAAGGATGTCTGACCCCGTGCAACTGGAGTTACAGATAGTTGTGAGCTGACACCTACATAGGTGCTGGAAATTGAACCCAGATCCTTTGGAAGAGCACTCACTGCTCCTAACTGGTGAGGGTTCTCTCCAGCCCTCACTTTTCACTTATAATTCTGTTATCTTTGGTAAAAATAAAATTATGTATGTGTAACCGGACATAGCTGTGTATGCCTGTAATCTCTGTACTTGGGAGAGACAGCCCCTGCAAAGAACTCAAGGAGGGGCTGGGGTTGTAGCTCAGGGTCACAGTGCCCATCTAGACACAAGACCCTGGCTCTACCCCTAATGCCACAGGAAACTTTTTCTCATAAGCCCTTTAAAAAATAGTTTTAAGATTTATTATTTATACAGTATTCTGCCTTCATGCCAGAAGAGGGCACCATATCTCACTCTAGTTGGTTGTGAGCCACCCTGTGGTTGCTGGGAATTGAACTCAGGCCCTTTGGGAGAATAGCTTGTTCTCTTAACCTACGAACTATCTCTCCAGCCCGCCCTTTTAAGTTTTAAGTAATTTGTTTTCTGTACTCTGGGTACATGCCATGTCTGTGCACCAAGTTTGTGCTTTGTGCCAGAGAGGCCAGAAGAGGGCATCTGACTCCTGGAACTGTAGTTGAAGATGGCTACGAGCTAGAGCTGCTGAGACTCTAACTCCAGTCTTCCAGCCCACATTTTTTTTTTTTTTTTTAAGATTTATTTATTGTCTATACAACATTCTGTCTGCCTGCATGCCAGAAGAGGGCCCAAGACCTCAGTATAGATGGTTGTGAGCCACCATGTGGTTGCTGGGAATTGAACTCTGGACCTCTGGAAGAGCAGCCAGTGCTCTTAACCTCTAAGCCAACTCTCCAGCCCCAGCCCACATTTTTAAAACTGAGAATATAGCTAAAAGGTGGTGGTTCACTCCTTTAATTGCAGCACTTGGGAGGCAGAGGCAGGTGGATCTCTGTGAGTTTCAGGCCAGAGGGAGTTCTAGGACAGCTGGGCTACACAGAGAAAACCTGTGTGGAAAAACAACAACAACAAACACTACCACCATCAACAAAAACATACCAACAAAAAACCCTGAGAATACCGGAGAGGTCTCTTTAAACAGGTTTATTTATCACGAGAACAAAAGCCATTGGCTTGTCTGATTCTGTGCCTGAAGGGAGCTATAAGGAAGTGTGCCTGGCATCCAGGTGGCAGACCCTCAGAGAGGTAAGAGTGCAGCCTGCTGGCCTGGCATCTAAGCAACTCCAACACCTGCCTCAGCAGGAAGTAATTCCTCCTGGCAGTTTGTATCAAAGCAGGCTGCGCTCTGGAGGAGAGGTACCAAGGATGTCCAGCACTGGATGAACAGCCTAAGAGCTGATGGGATCCCACAGCAGTGACCAGCTCCATTCCAGTCTTGTGAAAAATAAGGCTTATTTTTAACGTAACAAAAGAGCTCCCAGGCAGGTACTCATCCTGGTTCTGTGCAGTTATCCCCTTGTGGCAAAAAGGCCCAGCAACTTCCAGGGAACAGATTTTTTTTGCAGGATGGCTGGTACCCTAACCTGGCTGCCGAGGGGGACAGCCCCGTGGGTGGCCAGGGCGGGGTTAGGGGAAGTCATTGTAGGGCAAGCGGAAGGGGTAGAGTGGTGTGTATCTTGAATCTTGCCAGAGTAGCTTGTCCTCCAGGAAGGCGATGGAGGGCAGGGTGAGGACCAGCGTCTGGTGTTTGAGCATGCTGTACACATTCAGGCCTGGGATGTGAGGACATGGTAAGAGCATCACTGCCCTCGAGTCTGCCCCAACGCATCTTATCGAAGCCCGTGCCCTTGCCCTTCTCTGGGGTACACTGCTAGTCCTCAGATCCCACATCAGCTGCTGAGCAGCTAACCGCCTTCACATCTGCCCAGTATCTGTGAACCCCATGTCCCACTTCAATGAGGACCTAGCAAGTGGAGAAACTGGATCACCAGGAAACCAGAATCACCTGGAATTAGTGTGACAGGAAGGAAAGGAGAGGACAGCAGGATCAGCTCTCACCCACGGACTCATGGGCTCCCTCTTCAGGTTGTTTGTGGAACAGACTTTAATGGGCATGACCCTGGAGTGCTTCCTTCAGAAGGGGCAGCTGAAGGATGGAGGAGTGGCTCTGGGCAGAGCCCATGCCTAGCACAGGAGGCCCCAAGCCCTGGCTTCTAACCCAGCATCACAACTAAATGGTAAATTCTTAGACATGCCATTCAACCATGTTGTGAGAGGTGCTGGGTTTGAACTGCCCAAGATTAACAGTGGGATGGTGCCAGTTTGTTGCAGGGTTCTGGGGTAGGGCCTGAACCCATCACTCACCAACCGCAGGGATCAGGTTGAAGGTTTTGAGGCCTGAGGTGGCTGCCAGGATGTTCTTGGGCATCTCCTCATATGTCCTAGAACAGAATGAGGCTGAGCGGTGAGCCTGGCAGGACGGGGGACTTGGCCCCCACTCCCTCACCCTGCCCTGCATCCTCACAAGTCTACGAGGAGCACGGTGCTCCCCCAGCGGCGGTATTTGGCCAGCTCTGTCAGGTACTGGGGGTCTGCCGTGGGCAGCTCCAGGGAATCCACAATGCGTAGGTCATCCTGTGGAGAAAAGCAGGACCTTGGACTCCAGCGCAGAGCCCAGCAGCCACAGCCACCAGCCACTTTCCCTCCCAGGCACTGAGAGCATACCTGCATCAGCTTGACCGTCAGGGCCGCCTTGAGGCCCAGCGCCCGCACCTTCATGGGCAACATGTAGTAGTAGCTTGTAGGGCCCCGGGGACCGTGGGCTACGCCTCCTGCAGGGACAGTGGTTTGTGAGCAGGTGCTGGTCACTGCTGCTCTAGGACATCAGACATCAGCTTGATGGCTGGCACAGGGTGGTGGAGCGGATGATGAACAGGAGCCAGGGGAGCTGGGAGGGGCCAGAAAATCCCACGAGGTAGCATGGGAAAGGTGGGCAGTGGGCACCTATACAGAACTCCCTTCCCACCGGGCCCTACTTACCTCCCCGCCACAGGGGGGAACGGATGCTGCCATGCCGGGCACGGCCACTGCCTTTCTGTTGCCAGGGCTTGCGACCACCACCACTCACCTCAGCCCTGGTCTTGGTCTTAGCATAGCTCTGTGTGTACAAAGGGTGTGGGGGTGAGGTTCACACAAATGGCAGTGAAGATCTTAGGGAGGCAATGGGAGAGTGAAGGGACCAGAGTTCCCCCTTGTGAAGCAGGGCTCTGCTGTCCCAGTCACAGGAGCTGTCATTTCTGAGTCCTACCTTGTTGGGCTGAGACCAAGGCCTCACTATATAGCCCAGGCTGACTGAATTTTCAATTTTCCCCCCTCAGCCTCTATAGTGCTGCAATTATAGGCAGGAGCCATCCCACCTGCCTCCTTGTTGACTCTTGAATGTTCTTGGCTCTGCTCTCACTGACTAAATGGTAATGCTAGGCTCTGTGTGGTCTTCCGCAGAGCATTAACACACGCTGTCCCTATTAATCTCTACTCTAGTTGCTCTGCCTTGTCAGCTAGCTAAGTCGGACCTATGGACAGAATAAGTTAAATGTCCCTTTGTGGCTGGAGCATGGCTGAGCAGTTGAAATCCCCAAGTGGGGTGTTGCTGGGTTATTAACAGGGCAGCTGCCGGGCCACTGAGGCCCTGGGCTCATCACCCAGTGCACCTACACTAAGTGCCTGTCCCTGGGGAGAATGCTCCCAGTGCTGTGTGCCAGTCTAACTACTGATTTTCGGCCACCTCTCCCACTAGACTGTGAGTCTTCAGGGCAGGGATCTGGGGAGCTGCAGCCCCCTAACACAATACCTACAGTGATGGGTGCTGAACTATGACCCGAAGGGTCCAGGCAGACAAGGCTTGAGCTGGGTTCTTTCCAGAGAGCACACTCAGAGCCCTCTGAGCCCAGTGGGACGCTCTGCCATGCTACTCAGGGCACTCACGATTCTCTTGAAGTTCCTCTGCCAGATGGCAACCTGGTGCAGAATGTCCAGCCTGGAAAAGGGAAGGGAGCCCTGAGAGGGACACCGCAGCTCAAACTCTCCCACACCCGCATCCCAGGACAGCAAACCTGGCTCTTCCCCCAAAGGAGGGAGACCACAGCTGACACCACCTCGACTCAAGCCAGTCTCTGTACTATGGAGTCCAGCCGGCCAAGGTTGGTCGCTGTGCCTGACCTCCTGGTATGCAGGAGGTTGAGGCAGGAGGATGGAAAATTAAAGGTCTACCTGTCATTCACGATAAGACTCCACCTCTAAAAACCAAAGTGTGGAGTTGAACATCAGGACCTTTGTACTTGGTCTCTCTCTGTTTCTCTCTCTCACTGAAATGTTCTTGGCTGGTTTCTGCAGGTTCAAGCTCAAAATATTCAAGAGGTAGGTAGGTGTGTATCTGTGTGTGTGTGTGTGCGCATGCGTGTGTGTGAGGAGAGGGGGTCTAGAGAGATGGCTCAGTGGTCAAGAGTACTTGCTGCTCTTGTATAGACTCAGGTTCAATTTTCAGAACCCATAATAGCTCACAGCTGGTTTTCACTGCATTTCTGCCATCTTCCTTCTTCTGGCCTCTGAGGGCACTGCACACATGTGGTACACACATTCGGGCAAACATTTGTACACACAAAAGTCTCAATATTTTTTAAGTAAACAAAAGCAACAGATAATACAGAACCCGGAAACACAGGTGAGAATGCCTGGCATTACATGGACAACCCTGGGTGCTGGTCTTTGATTTCTACCTTATTTGAGACAGGGTCTCTTTCCTGCTGACGCTACTGTCACACGAGCTGGCCTTGGGGCTTCGAGGGACTCTCCTGTCTTCGCCTCCCACGTCCAGGCAGGAGTGCTAGCATTATAGATACACTCCACCACATGTGCCTTTACATGGGTTCTGGGAGCCAAACTCAGGGACTCATTTTCATGTGGCAGATACTTTACGCACGGCGCTGTCTCCCCAGCCCTTTATAATATATTTAGCCTGATATGTCTATGTATTTTGTCCTTTCAGTATTCAACACCAAATGTGTTTCAAGTAAACAGTGGCCAAATGCTACTCGTGCCAACTGTGTGGGGGCAGTATGTGGAATAAAAGCAATCCTGTGGGCGAATGACATGGCTCAGTGGGTAGGGGCACTTGTAACCAAGCCACACCCACACAGTGAAAAGAGAAAACCAGCTCCTGCAAGTTGTCCCCTCACTGTGACACATACACTCAAACAAAAACCCGAAGTTCATTATGGAAATGGCAAGAAGAAAGTTGCAGCCTGGCATGGTATTCTACATACCGTTAATACCAGCACATGGGAGGCAGAGGCAGGAGGATCTCTGAGTTCAAGGCCATCTTGGTCTACATGACAGGGACATACCTGCAAATGACAGCCAGGGATAAACACTGAAATCTTGTCTCGAATAACCAAAAAACCCAAAACTTTTTATGTATTTGTGTGCTCTACCTGTATATATAAGTATGCATGTGCATCGCATGTTTGCCTGGTGTCTCTAAAGCCGGAAGAGGGCATCAGTGCCTACAGAACCGCAGTTCAGATGGTTGTGAGCAGCCATATGGGTGCTGAGATCCTGTTTCAGCCTTTTCAGGACTGTTACTACAGGCACATGCCAACTAGTCTGGCCTCCTTAGCAGTCGTTTTTGAAAAAGATAATTCATGTTAACAGTATTTTTATTTTTTACTTATGGTGTCGCCACAAACCAGCACAGGCTGGCCTGAAACTCACAATGCAACCTTGACCATTAATTTCTTGACCCTCCTGTCTCCACCTGCACAGTGCTGGGTTAGAGGTGTGGGTGTTGACAGTGGAAGGGAACCTGGGCCTGGTGCGTGCTAGGCAGGCCCTCTAACTGTGCACATCCGCAGCCCTAATGAATCCTTGAGAATTCCCTGCGTGCTAGATTAATCATCAACCAACTTGATCATCGACCGACTTCTTGAGTTCTGACAAAACGGGGACCCAGGCACAACAGAGCAAGGCAGGCTGTAATAGGCCAGGGTGGTAGCAGGGCTGTGTCCTTCGCCCTCCCGCCCTGCAGTGGGGAAACTGTCACGTAGAGAATCCGAGGCATGGTGCTCCCACTCACCGGGGCGCCGTGGCAAACACATCAGGGTGCAGCTCCGCCAGGCCGACGCGCTCCTGCTCGAAGCCTCGCAGAGACTCGACCCAGGCCTGCACCGGGCGTCGGTGCGCCGGGATCCGGAGCTCACACTTCCGCAACACGGGATCTAGGAGACCTTGAGGGGTGGGGAAGGAGCTCTCAAGGGTCAGGATCAAAAGTCAACACCTTCGGTGCCATCCTCCCCAACTTTGTGCCAAGGTATAATCCCGGCTGTCACCTGGGCTATTATCCCCCGGCTCCGAAAACTCGTCCGGCCGCGCCGCGTCTTCTGCTAGCGAGTTAAGGACCTGGAAAACGACAGGCAGGGGCTAGAGACGCTCCCGCAGGGTCTCAACTTTTGACCTCCGACCCTACCCTGACCTCAGTTCGGTGCCCTTACCCGGGAGCCAGAGGGTCGAAGACAGGCCTGCAAAGCGGCCCGGTACAACCGGAGCATCTCGGATCTAACCCCGCAACCCGGGAGGTCGCGGCGCCTACGGACGCTTGCGGCGATGACTGATGACGCCACACGTGCGACGCCGCACGTCACGAATACGACTCCGCGGCCATCCGCGCCAGAACGCAAAGCCTGCTAAGGCCGGTGAGCGCCACTTAACGGCAGGAAGCCCCGCCCCCAGCAGAACGGGAGCCGGTGAAGTTGCTCGAGCCCGGAGACGAGCTTTCGCTTTAGCCAGTACCTGGCCAATAAGCATTAGCCTTTTTGTTTGTTTGTTTTGTTTTTACAAGACAAGAGTTTCTCTGAGTAGCCTTGGCTGCCCTCGCTTTGTAAACCAGGTTGTCCTCGAACTTGCAGAGATCCGCCTGCCTCAGCCTCCCAGAGTTCTGGGACTACAGGCTTGCGCCACCATGCCCGGCAGCATTTTTTCATTGACACTGGACAAGCCCCCGGCTGCTCTCCTTATTTTGCCTACAACTTTTTTTCGGCGTCTTTCTTTTCCTTTACCTTGTTGTGATTTTTTTTTTTTTCTTTTTTTGGTCTTTTATAGTCAGGGTCTCACTATTGAATAGCCTGGAACTCGCTGCGTAGCCCAGGGTGGCCTCGAACTGAACTGAGAGCCACCTGATTCAGCCTCCGGAGTGCTGAGATTAAAGTTATATGCCAGGCCGGACAGTGGTAGTGCCTCCCTTTAATCCTTGCTCTCGGAAGGCAGAGGCAGGTGGGTCTCAGTGAGTTTGAAGCCAGCCTGGTCTACAGAGTGAGTCCAGGTCAGTCAGAGTGAAACCCTGTCTGGAAAATTAAGGAAAAAATAAAATAAAAAGGTGTGTGCCACAACGTCTGGCTTCTATTCTTTGCTTTTTTGATATATATGTACTTCTTTTGTATTGTTGTTGTTTTATACAGGTTTTCTCTGTGTAATATTCCTGGCTGTCCTGGACTTTTGCAGACAAGGCTGGCTTCGAACTCACAGAGATCTTCCTGCCTCTGCCTCCCGAATGCTGTGATTAGGCATTTGACACCACACCACACGCAGCCTAATTTATATTTGTGTGTGTGTGTTTAAGGAAGAGGACAGAGTTGGAGCTTTCCTTCCACCTTGTGAATTGAACTCAGGTTATCTGGTTTGGTGGCCAGCCACCTAATCTGCAGAGCCATGTCAAAAGCCCTCCTCCTCCTCCTTTTCTTTTTAAACAAGGCTTCTCTATGTACCCAAGGCTGACCTTGAGTTCAGAGTCTACCTCCCTCAGCCTCTGCTCACGTGCTTGTCTGAATCTAATTTTCTCTGTTCTCTCTTTCTGGTGTGTGAGGAGTCTGACTTGGCTGGCCTTAAACCCTGTGTAGTTGAGGATAACCTTGAACATTTGATTCTGGCTGCCTTCACTTCCAGAGCCTTGGGATTGTAGGTGTGTGCTGCCGTGCCGGTTTATTTGGTGCTGGAGTTCAAGAGCTTTGCGAATGTTAGGCAAGCCCTCTACCAGCTGAGCGATCTCTCTGGCCCCTGTGGATTTTTCTTATTTGTTGAAACAGGACTTCAGTATGTAACCTTGAATTTGAGATCCTCCAGCCTCCTCTTTCTAAGCGTGTTTGATGCTTTAAATGAAAGACTCCTGGCAGAAAGCTTTCAGGACTTCTTTGGCCTATTTAGATTCTCCAGGGGACAATATTTTCTTCTGGAATTCCTCCCATCAGTTCTCCACACACATCCAATCCAGGATCCTACCCCCTCTCACACATTCTAGGACGCTCCAGGGACTGGAAAAAAGTCACTTGATGACCAGATCTTTATCACCTCACTAAGAACCTCTCCAAAAATAATCTAAATGATCAAGGTGGTGGTTTTGTCTCTGTTCCACACTTAACCTTCAGGGGGCGCTGAGAACTCACACCTGGCTCCCGACCGTCCACTATGAAGTCTGGACAGAACTTGGAACTTGGACAGTGGTCTCTGAGCCAACTTCCTTTTCACCACCTGGATAATGGCAACATTCTGAAACTTTAGTGAGTGAGGAATACAAAGGGTGGAATTCCTGGCACGAGATGAGAATTCAAGAACCAGCATTATTGATTCTAATATTAAAAGGAGTCTTGTGATCAAAGATACAAGAGAAGTCCTAGGCAGAGGCAGGTAGATCTTGCATTCAGGACACCCTGGTCTACATAGTGAGCTCCAGGCCAGGGCTACACAATGAGACTCTGTCCCAAACAGCACAAAACAAAACTCCCAAACCCAACCACACACACAACCAAAGGGGGGGGGGGGACAGCAACCACTACAACAAAACAAGAGGCACAACACACTAGTGGCTCAGACCCTGGAGAATTTAATTATCGGGCTAAATGTGTTTCTGGCTTTTGTTGTACTTTCTGCATTTATTATTAGTTTGTTTATTTTGAGACTGATTTCATGTAGCCCAGGCTAGCCTGGAACCTACTATGTAGCTGGGTTCAGACATGAAGCCCTGATCCTCCTGCCTCCACCTCCCCAGTGCTGACATGGCTGTCTTTTGGCACTCTGCTGTGTTATGCGGTGCTGAGGCTGGAAGTCCAGGGCCTCCTGCTTGTTAGGCAAGCACCCTTCCCACTAAGCCCCAGCCCCAGCATCATACACACATACAGTAACATTAAATGCATTTTAGGAACAAACACAAACAGACGTGGACGTTGAGAGATCTCCTTGTCACAGCAATTTAAGATTTGTTGCTCATGTATGCAGTGTAGGATAGCAGGGTCATATGTTAATGCTATTTTTAGTGTTTTGAGGAACCTTCCTTCTGTTTTCCATAAAAGCCCTGCACATTTGCATTTTCCCCACTGTGGAGTTCCCCTTCCTCTGCATCCTCAGCAGCTCTCTTGCTTTCTTCTCCTGTGGTCCCTCTGTCTGAGGAGTGATACCCTCCTCTGTGGTTTTGATTTGGTTTGATTGCCGACAGTGAGCACGCTTTCATATATACTGTGTGCCGGCTTACCTTGTGGTTTTTATTTTATTTTGTGTATTTTTAGGGTTTTTTTTTTTGCTTTTTTGTTGTTGTTCCTCTGTAGACCAGGTCCGTCTCAAACTAACAGAGATCTGCCTGCTTCTGCCTCTGCCTCTCAGGTGCTAGGATTGAAGGTGTGTCTCACCACGCCTTGCTATTTTTACTTTTAAATTATGTGTGTGTGTGTGTGATTCTTTATGCACAGGAGTGTAGTGGGTACAGAGGCCAGAATGGGGTGCAGGACCTCCTGAAACTGGAATTACAGATGGATGTGAGTCTCCCAATATAGGGGCTGGGAACCAAAGTTGGATCCAACAAACTCTGGAAGAGCAGCAAGCACTCTTATTCTCTGAGCCATCTCTTCAGCCCCAGTAGTTTGTGATTTAAAAGTTCTTTTAGAGGCTGGAGAGATGACTCAGCTGATAAGAGCACTGGCTGCTCTTCCAGAGGACCAGGGTTCAGTTCTCAGCAACCACATGGTGGCTCACAATCATCTCTATCTCTAATTCCAGGAAATACAGTGTCCTCTTCTGAGATTCAGAGACCTCATAAATGCTGTGTACAGACATACATGCATGCAAAAACATCCATGCATATGAAAGAATATAAATCTAAAATTTTCATATACAATTTATTTTTATTTATTTATTTTATGTGTTTTGCCTATATGTATATGTCTGTGTGAGGGTGTTGGATTCCCTGGAATTGGAGTTATAAACATTGTGACCTGCCATGTGGGTGCATGGAATTGAACCCAGCTCCCTTGGGAGAACAACAGCTCTTAACCTCTGAGCCATCTCTCCCATCCCCTAAAAATTTTGTTTCTCTATGTAGATCTGGCTGTCCTGGAATCACTCAGTAGACCAGGCTGGCCTTGAACTCAGAGACCCTCCTGACTCTGCCTCCCCAGTGCTGGGATTAAAGGTATGAGCCACCAAGGCCTGGCTCAGGGTTTTCATTCTATCACTGGTACTGGGGTTGGACCCCAGGGCCAGGTCTGTGTGCATGCTGGACTCATGTTCTTTGTACTTTGTTTGTGTCTGCTCTTTATTTGTCACACGTGGAGGTCAGAGGACAACCTGAGAGAGTTGTTGGTTCTTTTCTACCACGTGAGTTTAAGGGATTGAACTCAGGTCACCTGACTTGGCTGCTAGCACCTTTATTTGCTGAGCCATCTTACCTGCCCTTGTTTTATTTTTTGAGATAGGTTCTCACACTGCAGCTCAGGCTGAGCTAGTACTCATCTATGTCAGGCTGGCCTCCTACCTCTGTGTCCCCAATGAGAAACCCTGAGAAAAAAAAACCACTGAGAAACCCTGTCTCAAAACAAAACAAAACAAAACAAACAAACAAAAAAAAAGAATGAAAACCCTGCCTCTTCTATGGCGTGTTCTGTGACTACATCATAAAGAGCTATGACTCTCTTTCCCAGCCAGCATAGGAAGCATCTGTGTCCCTTCAGATGCGATTGTGTGTTTAGAGGTGTGCATGCTTGTCTGTGTGTGGGGACCAGAGGTTGACATCCGGTGTCTTCCCCAGTCACCCTCCAGCTTATTTCTTTCTTTCTGAGACAGGGTCTTATCTGTAGCCCTGGCTAGCATGGAACTCAGCTATGTAGACCAGGCTGGCCCAGAACTAAGAAATCCTCTTGCCTCTGTCTCTCCAGTGCTGGGTAAAGACGTGACACCGCATCCAGCTTCGGGTCTTGCTCATGTGGCAAGCATCTTACCCTCCATGCCTTCTCCTGCGTTCCCTGGTTTGTGAAAAATTAAACACATTAATTACTGCATGTTTCACAGGCAGGCACTCAATACTTAACGGCACATGTACATATAGGAACCTTACAGTTTTAATACGTGGATTTATGTATGTGGATATGGAGGCCGCAGCACACGTGGAGGTCAGAGGTCACCTGTGGGAGTTGGCTCCCTTCCACTCTGTGGTTCTCAGGGCTCATCAGGCTTGTGGCAGGCCCTTTCTGTTCTTTTATTTTTGAGGTAGGGTCTCATGTAGCCTAGACTGGCCTAGAAGGCTTCATCCTCCTGCCTCTACCTCCCCATGGGATCACAGGTGAGCTCTACCAGTTCATTTTGTTGTCATTGTTGGCTTTTGTCTTTGTTTTTAATGG